TTTGCTGCTATTTATTTGCAGATTCGGTTTTACTATTTGTTACAATTATATAGAAATCTTGAAGAAAATATATATATAAATTATTTTTTTTAATTGATACACACACATGAAATAAATTGAATAAATGTTTTATATAAAGCACAAATGCATGCAGAAAAATTGATAATACAATTAGATGGTTTTTAATTATTCTTTGAAGATTTAATCAATTTAATTGAACATTTATCTGGCTGAAATTAAGGTTTAAAAGTACGGACAATGGAATTCATAAACGCTGGAAAATTGAATAAAATTTTACAAGTCAAAAAAAAGATAATCTTATTTGCTCATCAGAACGTCACATTGAAACGAACTTTCTAAAAAATTAAGTATAGTAGAAGCGATCACGTTAATTATAATCTCTTAAACGTTGGAGCATAATTAAAGGCTTTTCCGAGCATTTCTCTCTATTCTTCTCTTTTCCACCTCTCTTCTCCACCCTTTTCGTCGAAAGTGACGACCTTATCGGAGAAAGCTTCCGAACGCTCGACAGTTGGTACACGAGCAATAAAAGTCGCTGGTCAATGACAAACGCGGATAACGAATCACGATCGCATGTTCGTATAGGAGATACTCTCGCCATCGGCTATCAGTAAAACGGCTTTTAAATGTCCACTGGAACGTACAATCATTACTGAAGCATTCACCGCTTGTGCTTTGGTAAAATACGCTTAATAGAAACTTTCTCGGTGAGTCAAACAATCGTCGTTTTTATTACGTTACATGCTCGAAATTGAACTGTGATCTTTGCACGAAAATGTATTCAGAAAGGTTATCAAAGGATACAACGCGCAATGCGCGAGTGATGAATGTATAATCTTAAAATGACCACGTTTATAAAACGCAATAAAATAAAGAAAAAATTAATCTCCACCAAAATAATTAGTGATATTTATATATATTTTATAAGCATACGCCTTTAATAAAATTATCTCTAACAAGAACTAATCGAGTATAAATATTGTCCCGTCATCTCTTCTCACATTTTATATCCGATACTTCGTATAATGTTTCCATTCGTAATCGCCGGAAGTCATTCATTAATATACGGGAATTAAGATCTCATTAGCTTTTAATCTATTAGAACTGTGTCGATACAAAGTAGCGTTAAAGAAAAAGGAAAGCGAAGGAAGAAGATAATTTGTATGTGCGCAGCAACGAAGAATTCTCGAAAGCTGATTCTTGAAAAAGAATCTCGTCTCTTTCTTGTGACGAGAGAGTTTGTGCGGCAGAGTTCGACATTATTAGGTCGTATCTCATACGTTTCGTTCTTTATATATAAAAGCACGTATTTTTTGTGAGATAACGCGCTCCCGAGATCCTTCGAGGCGTTACGACGTATAAAGTGTCACTTTACATCACTGTTAATTCTCTTGCTGACCTCGAGCGATCATCGTGTCCGGCAAGCATCAAATTTTAGCTATACTATATTTATTTTATCCCGTTCGCGCACATCTTTAAATTCAGCTGAATTACGTACGCGCGTTTATTTGCGCCGTGTAATATTAAACGCGATATTCTTTTACATTCTTTTTATTTTCTTTTTCGAATGCGCACACTTTTTGTTTAGTCAGCACGCACAATCGTCGGAAGATTGAACTTTATTCGAGTGCTTATCTCCTTTGATCTTTCGCAAAATTAAAAGAATTGCCGTGTGCCGAATAAAAAGGCTATAAAGTAAAAATCTGGCGTAAAGATGCTTCTTCGAGTAATATTTTACTCGTTTATTTCTCTGATTTATTTTTATTAGTCTTTTAAGACATAATTTTTCAGGACTTGTCTTATTAATATCGTCACACATGAGTGTGCAATATGTCACGGCGTTTTATTAGCATAAAATACATTGAATAACCAATTTACCGATTATAGTTGAAATAGGCTATAAAGGATAAGTATCCTAGTTTAGCGATCCTACTACGATCGGCTGCGAACATTAATCAAGCGCCCTTATGCCTCTAACAACTCTTAATAGAGACGCTTCCACATGCTTACACTGCGTCGCGCGGGATAGGGTCGTTCCGAATGAAGGATCGCGCCGATATCTCGCGACGGCGATATCTTGGGAGGCACGTAGAGATACTTAGTTAGTGTTCTCACATAAATCATACACCTCCTTTCTCCATTCCGCCGTGCCGGCGTGCCGTGTCCGCACGCGATAACGATTATCGATGCTTCATGTTCGAAATATTCGCAGTCCTCGTCTCACCGCTCCGTCCCGCGCTCCTATTTTTCCAACGTATCGCCGATAGCGGCGATCACCGATACCAAGTGTTAATTCAACTCGGATTGTCAATATCATGTCGCGCGGAAAATCGCATTTTCCGTCGCCGAGCGAAATTATTGCACCGATATACTCGTAAACGGGAAAAGCCAGACGACAGCGCTTCCTGCCACGGTCTGACATTTACTTCGATGTTAGCGCATCGACTTTCGTTGATTGGAAAGGCTGATAAATACGGTCGTACGAAAAATATTCAATCTCCTCCGTCATTACACGCGTTTTATTTATGACATCAATTTCAGAACCGCAGGATGCGCTGAACTTTTTGGAATGGTAACGGGCTTGGCCGCAGGAAACTATATTTTATTTTTGCATCGAAGCATGCTTATAAATTGAGTCATTTAAATTTAATTTTTAAAAATTTCGCCGATGTGCAGACACATCACCGATCTCAATTTTGAAGTCGCCGTATTTTCTCTAAATTAAAAAAAACTAATAGTTTGTTAATAAACTGTTTAAGCAATGAATTTCTTTCCTTCTGGAAATAAAAAAATAAATTCATAATTTATGATGCTCAATTATTCATAATTGATTAAAATTGATGTATATCAAACGCTGTGATTTACTTCGTTTAGAAGGTTAGAAAGAAAAAAGAATCTGCGATCTCGAGAACTTTCTATTTCGAAGAATTTTTAATTATGTGTTTCACTATAATGATATTTAAAATTATTTAAATCGCTATTTTCTTAAAGCTCCAATTTGCATTATTCAGAAGAAATTACCATCAACAAAAATAGCAAAAGTATTTCACATTCTTCTATATTCTCTGATACATTATATTTAGTTTTATGTGTAAAATGTGTGTAACACTTATAGAATATATATATATATATATATATATAAATTGACTTTTAATGACTTTTAATTTTCAAATAACCACATTTACACAATTAAAAAAGATTTAATTACTCAAAATCTCTATCTCGTATGAAAATTTTATAAATAATGACTTTAAAAAGTCATTTTACGTAGTTATTTCAATCTATAATTTTCCAGATTATATATTTATTTAATTCAATGATGTATGAACTATTTTCGAAGAACTATCATTTTTCGTATTAATAGCTAATTAACTGACTTTTTTTCTGCTATTTGAAGAATTTGCTCTAATCTTAAAATCTAAAATGATTCACAATAGAAATTCATAAAGTAAGAGATATGATATTTTGCGACTTCTCTTGTGGAACATCGTAAAGTGTCTACCACTGTTTGCTCCTGTTATTGCTACTGAAAATAGAAGGCGAAAAGACCCTTAAGTCCCGCGTATATTCCACGAGACGACACGTAAACGATCGGGAAGTCGATCCTCGTATTTGTACGTCTTATTCACGGAGCAGACATAATCCCGGCGTGCCTACGTAACGGTAAAAACAGATCGGCGTGCATTCACTTTTCCTCGCTGTATGTACACACATTCGCAAACGCGCATTATCCAGCCGCGTACGCATATGAGGCACGCACTTTGCAGCACGCCTTTTAAGAATATATGTGAGCAATAGTCAATACACAGTAACAAACCGACACATATCGTACTTTTTCTATCTCGACAAATAATGCATCTTGCAATGTATATTTCATTATTTTTTAATATTTTTAAAAGGCTTTAAAAGCGCACGAGATATAAAAACAATTGAAGAGAGGGAAATCAAATATGAGTTCCGCTTTTAAAAAGTTTTTTAATAAATATGCAAATCGTAATACAATATTTACCTAAGTAATTTCATAATTTCTAAAATTGATAATGATTAAGATTTTTATTTCCAATTTTTTTATTTGCAAAAATTTTCGGACGGATATAAACGGATTTATACGTGTTAACGGCATCCACGTGTTACTGCAACCATTAGGTTCGCTTGGCGGACATATCTCAGTTACACTTTACTGAGTTTCGTGCGTATTGCTATCACAGTAAACTCGACGATTAATTGGACATTCGGACGGTCAGCTAGGTCGATAAAACCGACAATTGACTTGTGGCACGCATTTGTCATCACACGCGACGTAGGACGTATATCCCGTGATTTATCTATTATGAATACTGTGCATTCTTAAGAGAGTCGAAAACAACTTTCACTTGATAATAATCGAGACTTCTGCTTTTCTACATATTGTGCCATGTCATCATAATTATGATTCATTCAAAGTTCTGTGGAAATATTATTTTCACGTTCCTCGTTAGTTTCTCCGTTCCTAATATTTTCTTATTGTTATCTTTGCAACAAACATATGATGCACCGACTTAATTAGTTCTAATCTATCAATTTATATCACTCGCGGACAGATGACAAAAACATTTCTAGGAGCACTTTAGACGATATCCGAGATGCGTAATATTCTGCGAAACTTCTGAGGAAACTCGCGGCCCTAAATTGCCTCGGAGAAAGATGCATTCGGTGTGCGCTCGCCATCGGCCAAGTGGTGTCCATTAAGATTAGAAACTGGGTTAACGTTGCCCCTAAGACCAACCGTTACTCAAGTGAAAGCCTCAGGCTGAAGTCAATTCATCGTCGTGTTGCGCAAACGTATTACTAATTTCTCCATTCGGCCACTTAAATATTTACCGCGACACACACACACACACACACACACGCGCGCGCGCGCGCGCGCGCTTACACACATACATACATATATACATATGCGCATAGCAAGGACTAATTTCATCCTTCCTATTTGTTGGCAGACTGATCCAATGCTTCCAAGGACGAGGGACAGGTGACGAGCGAGATCCAGACGAGCGTCTCTAAAACATCTCGAACTTCCTTAAAAAAAGAAAACTTTATCGGAAACACGACAAAAATGTTGAACCAACGGCGAAGGCATTCTCGATGGAGAATGTTTCTCATTCTCTCAGTGTTCCTCGGATTGATTTGCAATGGCGAACTGGCGCCTACCAGTGTATCAGACTCTTCATCATCATCATCATCGACGTCTCACGCCAAGAGAAAATCGCAGGACATCGGCTCGTTGAGCGACTTCACCTGGCAAGCGTGGATCGTGATGGATCCGCAGGCTGCCGCCCAGTCCGGTATGGACTCCGCCACTATCCTGCGAAAGATAACGCCCAAGAGCGTGTTCATCGCGCCAGCGCTGACGCCCTGTCCCGAGGGCTACAAGACTGACAGTATGAACAGATGCGTGAAGAACGCTTTCAACCTTGACGAAGACGCGCACATCAGTTTCCTGCTGCAACGACTCAACACCATGTACGCCAATCAGGACTTAATTGGCAACAAGGGCAACGAGCAGAAGAAGTCGACCGGGCCGCTGCAGCTCAACATCCCTTTCATACCCAATCCGTTGGCGCAGACCGAGCACGAAGAGATGGCGAGCGATTTGGTCGCGCCGCCGGTTCGCAATCAGACTCAGCCGGAAGACGAGGAGAAGACCAAGTCGCACGCGACAGTGGCGTACGAAGTGAAGAACGATACGACGCTGGACGAGAAGGAGACGACGATTTTTCTTCAGAATTCCAGCACCCCCCATATTGGCAAAGCTGAGGAGAAGTCTGACGCGGTGATTGTGACAACGGAACTCGTCGACCAGACGAACGGCACTGATTTCACGGAGACGGTGAGCTACAAGAAGCCGGTCGAGCCTCTGTTCGACGCTTCAAGCGTGGAGAGACTCGATGAGAGTGATGTTGCAAAAGACGTCATGAAGAATGCTTCGACGACAGATAGAGCGGAGAATTCGACGAAAGTGTCGACCTCAGTCACGCCGCTGTTCTCGCCTACGAAACTGCCAAGTGTGAACGATTCACCGTTAACACAGAACGACAGCGCTCTGTTGTTTACGCAAACCACCAAGGAAATCATCATCAAAGTGCCGGACCCGACACTTTCCGCAAAGGAGACGACAGAAACTCCATTGATCGCGGAAGATGAACGCCGAGATAACGAGACGTACGTAAACAGCGACGCAACGCCGACGAATTGGACATTGAACGAATCGCAAGAGATTTTCTACGAAGACGTGGAATATTTTTCCGGCAGTACAAACGAACCGAACGAAGAAAAGTCGTTAGAAGTGGAAGACGGGGAGATCTTGAAGGCCGGAGAGGCCGGTATGACGATTCCTACGCAAAATGTCGAGCGGCTGCATCGCGATCAGCAGCAGCAACAGAATCGGACAACGGAACAGAAAGAGATGATCGACACGCGCGATCAGATCGTGATCCGTTTTAACGATTCCACGCCTACCAACGACAAGGATGAAGTGGGCAGTAACGTCTCCAGTGAGGTCAGCATCAATGGCGACCTCATTTTGGAGACGACTCTTTTAGATGTAAGCACCGAAAGGCTGCAAGTCACCACTAAGCCGGCGGTCGTGACTCAGAAAATTGTGAAAAATGACGATGGCAATTCCAAAGAATCGTTCGACAGGAATCCTGGCTCTTCTAAACCGAAAGTGGTGTTCCCTCAGGATTCTCACAGCGCGATGTCCACCAGCTTGTACAAACAGGGCGAGAACGTCGAGAGCGAGAGGGCCGAGGAGCTGCAAACCGCACCTTCTTCGCCCAAATCGTTGGTGTTCGACTCTCCGGCGGCAGATCCGATAACTGAAGTCATGAAGGAAGAAACAGATTCGAAAGACAGCGTATTGCGAGAAAGTCCGCAGGATTCCGAGTCGGGCATATATCCAGCAAGCTTCCTCAAGCAGCTCGCGACGAACCTCCGGTTGGCCGGCAACCTCGTGAGGTTTCCCAATGCGAGGCAGCCGGCGCAGCAGAACGGTTACGTGAGGTTCCCGTCCAACGAGGCTAATAGCATACACAGTCCGGGCCACAAGCAGCACTATCCCGCGGACGACCACGGCGCGATCTACGGCGGCGGCAGCAGCACCAAGAGCAGCGTCCCCGTTCTCCAGAAACCAGTTTACTATCTATCAGCGCCGCCGAACTGGAAGCCGGATCGAGCCGATCGCGCGTCGGCGACGGCCGGTGAGAGGCAGAAGCAGAGTCCAGGGCTGCTGGGCTTCTGGAGCAACATGCCGCTGATCCAGGATCCCGCTATGTATTCCTTCGATCAGATCGCGGACGACGACGACGACGATCAATCGTTCTTCCCGGCGTCGCGCGGGGTGAGCTTCCACGCGAAAGCGTCGACCGCCGACGACGACAAGGTGTACACGCAGAAACAACGAAGAACGGCGATCGTTGCGTAACTCTATCCTCTCCTAAAAACAACTCTCTGGTGAATTGTGTTTTGGAACTGTGCCAAATGAATCAAGAAGAATTCCAAATCGCGCGAACGTGACTTGCGGACCGTCGCGGTGTTTGGATCGCCACGGACTTTGTTAAAAAAGCCGGATCGACGAAGAGAATTGTTAAAGATATTGTATTCTGTAGCGATTTTTTCTTGTAGAAGCTCATGAATCACACATACTGCTATATGTATCGTGTTTAGTATTTTGCGTCCGGCGAATGTTGAAAGTCGTCTGGAGATTTGACGATCTCATCGCGAAGGAGTGAACAAAAATCTAGGTGTCGCGCTTCCTAGTATTGTTTTCCAGGCTCTTACGTAAAAAAAAAGAGAACAGTCGAGAAAAGCGCGACTCGGTAAGAGCGGATGGGAGTTAATAGAAAAAGCGTACTAACATTTCTTTCGCACGCTCGATATCGCTATCACATTTTGTCGATCGTTAAACTCGTGTCCGGAAAATTTTTTTTCCCATAGAAAACCAATGATTACTATATTGCAACGATCATTTCCAGCAATTTCGCGAAGAATGCATCTGGTAATCGCAGTGCTGCGCAATCGATAGCGATAAGCGTTGGATAGAGAAAGTAGTAAGAAAGTTGCATGCTGGCGCAAGAGATTTGCGCAATCTCGACGACGAAATTTGCTGCACTAATGAAACATGGGCTTTCTCTAACAAAGCTTCAAAGAGAACTGCATCGTGCATTTACACAAAGAAAAGTTGTTAAATGTCGGATGTTCACTTTACAAAATTATTGCGCTTAGCAATAGCAAGATATCGAATATGCGTAAAGAACTGCGTCATTGCTAATAGCAAAGTATTAAAAGAGACAAAATTGTTTGAACTTTGCGCTATCGAATCTCACTGATTAGGCTGATATTTACGAAACAAGCGAAACGTAGATAAGGTCGTATCAGAGTACGCTAAAGTAGACTAGAAAAAACACACTGCCCGAGATAATTTTTTAAGCTTTTTTTACCAATAATTTTTTTATATTTTTTCAATCGCAAAAACTCAATTTTCCGCATTCTCATCGCAACTCCGATTCTATGTACATGTAACAACTGAGATATTTTGCATTATCTACATTTTACATTTTCTCCATTACCAATGCTAATAAAATTGTATGTAATCATTAAGTCTTTAATAAAATTTTATTCGCATTATTTATTATTTGGCAATTCTATTATTTTAATATAAAAGATGTATTTTATAAAACGTACATAAAACAATCATGCATAACATCACATATGCGATGAAAATGCGGAATAATCAATTCTTAAGTGCGAAATATATTATTAAGAAATCCATTATGTATTGAAAAAAATCATTAATTTTACTAAATTTCATACGAAATGTCATTGTTGACTTTTTATTCTCTATACAAGCGAATGAATCGTCATCGGATTCGTCAGTGCTAAAACTAGTTTCTCGAGATAATCATATATAAGCGGCGTTTATGAGCTCGCAAGCGATATACCGAGTTAATCTACTAATGGAGGTGTTATCAAAGCAGACTGATCTTTAGGGTTATTATAGAATAGTAAAAATCACGATTTCCGGTCGTACGAAATCTTGAGAACCGTGCTGTTCTTTTTAGTATAACAAAATACGAATTGTACAATATCAATTTCATACTCATCATTGTAAGATTTGCGAAGAAAGATGTAAGTCGCTTACACGCCTTTCTACACATTCTGAAATAACTGATTTTATAATTCGCATATAACAATTGACGATTTTATAATTTGCATAATACGTGGGCGTGTAATTTCGACGTCTTAGATCTTTTCGTGTCAGATCAATCACAAATTACACCTGCATTGCGTAGCCCACAGCGTAGTATAAGTGTTTTCGGTGTGACCTAATCAATCGTTGTTTCACGTTGATAGCTTCTCAAAGATGATTTAAAATAGCCGTCGAAATCGATAGTCTCCAAATCGGAAAGTTTCGAGAATTTTTGTCGTAATTGCTTTGTCTTTCATTTACGCGTGAAATGATTGTACTTCGATGGAAACGTTATGAACATCGTTGCAATATTAAAACATTTCGGCATTCTAGCTATAATGTGGCATGTAGTAATCAAAAATTAATTAAAAGTTTAAATTTTAATATTATATAGTAATAATACTCTTGAAAATATTTGCATTTTATCCTCTTAAAAGAATTTAAAGTGTATAGTGGAAGTGTCATTGATCAAATTAACAAACATGTAGCTTAATAAATACATCAATTTCATTTTTTTAAGTATAATAATACTTATTAATTTCTATTCATTAAAATTTCCCCATAAATTTTACTCCTCAATTTTAGCGTGCATGTAACATCATAGTTGGAAAGCTGTGACTCTTGCAGCGAGTGTTACTGACATTGGATTTTGCAATGAGCATCGAGACATTTTCGAATCATAGCTCGAGTTATTTTTACGCATGTTTCGCTACGAACGCAACAACGAAACAAGAAGTTTTATAATACTTGACATTGTGTGCGGCCAGTAAGTCTACTGCTCTATGTGCGTTTCAATGTGGTGTGTAATGTCTCTCGTATTATTAAATGTCGGTTCGTGTATATATTAATTTTATTATGGAAGAATGTATATACATAAAGCATAATGTAAGCATAATGTAAGGAGTAAGCGTTAACTGATGCGTATTAATCGTGTAACTGTATTAAATCTTAGTATATTATTTATAGCGAAATATATCGATGTATATTGCATTTGTCGTGTTGTGCAAAGCCGCCTGTTAGATAACAAAGAGTGGAAGGAATTATAAAAGAAAACACGTACCTATAATACCAAAATTATTGTGCTCTTTTATTTACACAACCTGCTCAAAAGTATCCTCGTATCCTATAATAAAAATATTGTACCTAGCGAACAAAAAAGTTATAAAAATAGATATGAATTACATCAGCTTGTCTTGAGACCTTTAAATCCTCTAGCCAGAAAGAATTGTTCGGTGGATTCATTTCTCGTTGCGTCAGGTCTAACTATTTTAACGCTATTGTAAAATTTCAATAAATTTTGCTCAAACTGCTGCGATTTGTCACCATCCCAGACTTTTACAACAAGCGTACCGTCCACTTTACTGATCTGTAGCGCAAATTTTAAAGCAGAGTACGCGAGTAACATTATATTATAGTGGTCCATATGCCTCTCGCCAGACGCGTTTGGAGCCATGTCGGACAAAACGACATCGACCTTGTCTCCTTGCAATAATTTATACAAAGTTTCCTGCGTCTTCGCGGATGTAAAGTCCATATTTCCCAAAGTGGTCGCGCCTTCTATGGGATAAAATGGAAGTTTGTCTATACCATATACTTTGCCCACAGGACCTTCCTTTTTACTGTGTGCATTAGTCAGATTAGTGGCAACTTGAGTCCAACTGCCAGGCGCCGCTCCGCAGTCTATGACAGTCAGACCCGGACTGAGAATCTTAAATCTCTCGTTGATTTCCAGAAGTTTGAATGCACTTCTGCACCTATAATTCTCCTGCTTCGCCTTCTCTACGTAGGGATCACGCAACTGTCTCATTAACCATATCTGTGAGCTGTGTTTCTTGCCTTTCAAGTTTTGTGGCGTCTCCTTCAGCAGCGCGCGGCAAGTATGCACGCTTCTCGTCAGTCGAATGCTTTTGTAAAAAGAATTCATTCCAGCATTACCTTCCTACAGATATAATCTAACCTAAAACGTTGTTCAGCGTAAACACTTGACATCGAGGCTTGTCACAAACTATTTATTTTTCAGTGGTTCCACACAGATTACGCACCATATATTTCCGAGCATGTATGTCGTTCTTGTATACAAATTGGAGCTGACTGGAGGCTAAACGAACGTGATAAATGAACTATTAGTATCATAACGTTACAACTCTGCGCGCATCCATCTTGTTTTACGACGCGCAGCTATCAGCTGATCGACGTCACTCACAGTTGGCACGCGTGAGAACAGTGATGAGTACAGTTGCGTTGTATATTTCTGCACGTCTGAAGTAGCATGCCAAGAACGCTTCGGTTCAGATATTTGACAGTTGTTTTGCGAGCATTGACATGTGTGTGAAGGATCGTGAATATAAATAATAAGTTATCGAATATTAAAATTAATTAAAGAAAAAATAGTTAAAGGTTTCTTTAATCATGATGTGAAAATATTTAGACGCGATACCTTCGATTTCGATTTATCGCATAGGACATCGAGTGTACGTTCCTATACGCATGCATGCATGCGCTCCAATGCGCTCTCGGCTACGCTCGTGTCGGGGATGAGTGTCGCCGCGTAGCTTTGCCGGCGAGTATGTGATCAAGTTCCGCAACACGAGCACGAGATATTTCCGTAAACCCGGATGTTTTCGACGGAGTAATTCACAATGAACCTCACCGCGGGTAACACGCACGGCAATGGCTTGCTCTACGCCGGCTTCAATCAGGATCAAGGTAAACAGCGTACGCTCGCGATTTCGCCTCGCATTTGACAGCGCGCGTACGTTTCACTGTCACGGATACGCTCTTCGCTTCCGCGTCTAACCTCCAGTTACTCGTAATGTGTTTACGTCGTGTTTACGCGTGCCACACGTTCACGACACAATTTTCAATGCCGTCTTAACCTAACGCGTTACAGTTTTGCGATCGTATCCGTATCGTGATAGGAATAATTCAATTCTACGGATTGTACGATATTCATCGTTCTTAACCTTACTTTTGCACGCTAGTATCTGGAACATCAACGATCGCGTCGTAATCTTGTTAGTTAATTAATCGCGACCCTCTTTTACTTTGCGGAGAAACGTCGACAATTTTTTGATATTTATGTGTTATTGGCTACATAAAGATTGGAAGTTACATTTTTGATTTATTTTTATCAATAAATTACTTTATCGTATAACTGCTGTAAAAAGAGCGTAATAAAAAAAATGAAATGATTTAATATGTTTATTTATGTCTTCCATTTCTCCTTAAGCATTGTATGTCACATGACACCGTACACAGTTCAATGTAAATTTTTGAGATATCACATCTGCATGTATGTATGTTTATCATATTCATCTTATGTATTTGTGCGAATGCATGTGCATATCTCAAATACCGCGACAGTTGATTAATATTTTCAAGAAAAAGGAGATATTGTACATAAAGCAGATAATGATATCATTCACACATTTGCAGGATGCTTTGCTTGTGGTATGGAAAATGGGTTCAGAGTATATAATTGTGATCCACTGAAGGAGAAAGAGAGACACGATTTCAGCGATGGAGGTCTTGGATACGTAGAAATGCTTTTTAGATGTAACTATTTAGCATTGGTTGGTGGTGGATCCAAGCCGATGTATCCAACAAATAAAGGTTGACTTTTATTTCGCAATCGCATATGTTATAAATAACACATTGCGTTGGTGAACAGAGAAATCATTTATATTTTATAATTGCAGTTATGATATGGGACGACATAAAAAAATTACCGGCAATCACTTTAGAATTTAATGCACCTGTGAAAGGAGTGAAATTGCGGAGGGACAGGATAGTAGTAGTGCTAGAAGGTGTTATAAAGGTTTACACATTTACACAAAATCCTCAACAGTTACACGTGTTTGAAACTAATCCCAATCCGCGAGGATTGTGTGTTCTGTGCCCGAATAGTAATAACTCCTTGCTTGCCTTTCCTGGACGGAAAAACGGCCATGTTCAAGGTGAGGATTAAAGGAAGATTGATGTTTAATTGCACATCGCACTTGTTATATAATATCGCGATTTTGTCTTTCAGTTATAGATCTGGCCAATACAGAGAAACAACCTTTAAATATAGAAGCACACGAAACGCCTTTATCTTGCATAGCGTTAAATCTGCAGGGTACTAGATTGGCTACTGCCTCGGAGAAAGGTACTTTGATAAGGGTGTTTGATACGCAAAATGGAAACATGATTAACGAATTAAGAAGAGGAGCGAATCATGCGAATATTTATTGGTAAGCGCAAAAGAAAAGATACGTTAAATTATATTTGTGCGCAACGCGATATTCTACTTGACGTATACCTTGTTTCAGCATAAATTTTAATCACGATTCTACATGGTTGTGCGTTGCCAGCGATCACGGAACCGTACACGTATTCGCCGTCGAAGATCAAAAATTAAATCGCCAATCTAGTTTAGCGTCTGCCACGTTCCTGCCAAAGTATTTTAGCTCGAGTTGGAGTTTCTGTAAATTTCAAGTACCCGGTGGACCTCAGTGTATGTGTGCATTTGGTCAAGATAACAATAGCATCATAGGTAAGCAATGCTGTAAATTAAAAAAAAAAAACAATGCAATTAGCACGCACGTCTCTTACGTTTGTGATCTTTTGTGCAGTGATATGCGCAGACGGTAGTTATTACAAGTTCGTATTCAACAACAAGGGTGAATGCACGAGAGACTTTTATGCGCAGTTCCTCGAATTGACCGACGACAAAGTGTGATCGGAGGATATAACGGCGGTGCACTCCTAAACGTAACGAAAAACGAGAGAGAACGAGACTTTCGTATTCCTTTGGTTTTATTTGCATCTGCTGATAATAAGATCGAGCGGGTACGGCGAAGGTACGTCGCGTTTATAGAGATTACAACACATGAGCTGTTTATATAAAGGAAATAACGTCCACGTTGGACGATATGATAGAGGACCAAATGAAGAGTTCTATTAATTGTTGGTAACACCGATCATTGGTGCATTGTACGCAGCTTCTCGAAGAGAAAGACAAAACAGAAAAGATTATTGGCGAACGTCGAAAAACGCGTTAACAAAGAGTGTGTCATAAACTTGTTACACGAGCCTATTCGCTGACGCCTATTAATAGAAGAGCAAGTTTTTAAATACGACAAACAAAAGGAATACCTCAGGTAACACCAGGGGACACCGCAAGTTACTTGTTGGCGTGATACTCACATTTTCTTACATTTTAGATAAAAATGCTGCTGCGACTAGTTAAACGTTGGCCATAAATATTATTGTGACAAAAAGAAAATAATCATTTTTCATAGCTTTGCGGTAAAAGCTTCGCAACACAATCGTGTATCCCTATCGTGATCATGTGTTTTGCAGTCCTACACATTTTTTTTGTTATATATATCACGTTATATATATCACGCATCATTATAAAAACGATATACATCCCCTTCGTACATACTCTTCGACAATTTTAAGCAGATTATTGTTACACGTTGGTTTTTGGCGATTTAATAAATGTGTCTTTGTTTCATAGCCGAATCATGTCATGTTATTATACATGTCATATACATATATATGTCGTACTGGAATATTGTAATTTTTATTTTTAGTTTTTTCCATTTATATATATTTTTTTTTATAATATACATATACACAAGAAGTGATTCTACACTTTATATCACACGGATATTGTTGCAAAATAACAAGATTGTAATTTCACAAAGAAGTTGGGTTTAAATACAAAATAAAACTAATTATGCCACGACTCTGAGTCTTGTAGCTATTTAATAAATTCATCTACGATGCAGCGTTCTTGCGACACTGTTCATTATCTATTAGCGTAAATTATCCATACATTATTTTGTGTTATAATAATAAATTAAAATCAGTCTTGCGCTTGAAAGGAAATGCGCATTCGTACAGTGGTGAGATTAAATTTGAGATCGTGGTATTCTTATCCGTCAAAATTCTGACGGATGGAAATCCGGAACGTACGTGTGCGTATAGTGAAAATGCAATTTATCGATCAAATGAATAACAGTATCTGTGCGTCGGATTAAAGAACTCTTAATATATAAACGTAAAACGCGCGACTTGAACATATGTGTAGAACGAGAAGAGACGTTTAAAGCGTATCCTTCTTGGGCTTTGTACAATGAAATCTTTTCGTTTATCTTCACATCCTCCACGTACAGTACTTTTTATTACGAAACTCCATCTGTTATTAAATTTTCGTTCTCGAGACAAAATACACTTCCATTGCGTGATTTTATTTCTAAATTATCGTTCCGACTTCGTATCTTGTCTTCAAGTATAATATTTTTTCTCGAGATGTATGTACGTCACTGAAAGCTTCTTGCGAATGAATCTTGCGTTCTTGCAAAGTCACAGGTCTCTTCATTTGCATTCTTCATTCTTCAACGAACGAATTTTTCGTTGCTACCTCCGCTCTTATAATATCTTTAAAGCTCGTAAGGCTTGTTCCCTATAACTTGGATTCCCTTTGGTACCTCCAGCGGTACGGGGACCGCGTACTTTTTTTTCACGCTGTGCACCTCGTGCACGAGCCCTTTCTTCGTCTCGAGACTCTTATAAGTACTGTACACCACGAACCAGATGTAAAAGTTTAGAATTATCAGGAGAAAGGCGAATAGGCCTGAAAATATTACATATTTTTTCAGTAAAAAGCACGACGAATATTTTGCCTGATATTTGCAATGATAGAATGACTTGGAAAATAAAAAAGTATAAAATGGATTATTCTAAGATTTACATGCGCCACGTAATAATATTTTATAAGTATAAAGTAAAATATCAAATTTCATTTTTTATACCAAATTTATAGAAATTTGATCAAAGAAGCTTATTGCGTGCATGAAACAATGAATCAATGAAAATTTCCAAGTATTTTATAAAATATTTACATACGTTCGCAAATACCCGCTCTTCCACCTAAAGTAGCGATGAAAGGACAATCTTCCTCTACCAAAAATAGAGAGATTGCTAGGGCCGATATGATGGTGATCTTCACCATCATCCAAGGCGCCATAAAGTGACGATTATTCTGAAAATGGAGTGCGTTGTAAAAAAAAGTCGAGTGATAAGAAATATGAATTATTCGATTTGAATTATTTTTCTAAGTAGTTTATATTACCGACAAAGCTCCATGGAGAAGTAATATAGTAGAGATAAAGTGGATAACTGTGATGACGAGACCACAATACATCGCGTATACTATTTCTGTAAATAGACAAGATCGTCTTTTTGGAAATTACATAACAAAAAAGGATGATAAATTTTTGTTTTGTCGTGTCAATAATTTTTGTGCCTTTCGTGAATGCAAATATTTCTATAATAACCGGTTGCGTTGTGATGCGCCAGGTCCATTTTTTTCGTGTTTAGATGATTCGATGATATTTCTTCCAAAGCCTCTCTTTCGAGGGCATCCTCGGTATCTCTCACCACCATTTCTTGAATCCCCATCGCGTGCGCCAACGCCAGAATAAAGAATATCATACCGAATCCGGACGAAAACTGTATGCAACATATTTGAAAATTATGTTCTACGAAGCAGATTGATTGCTTGAAACACGCTAGACGGATAGAGATTATCGTTACCATTTGGAATACGGCAATTAATATTGTTCCCTGCCGCAGATTGAAATAGTGTAAGAAATTCTTCAACAATCCGATCTTCATCTTGACTTCAGAGAATTAAACTTTACAATTCTTTAAATACTTCTGAAAATTTATAAATTATATATATTTATGCATTACTATTTGTAACTAATATATTTTAATATTACTCAAATATTTCAAGAAGCATATTCTTATATAACATGTGTGAATTTTATCAATTGTATTATATAATAAAGTGCACCGAAAAAACTGACATTTTTTATTTTTTATAAATAAGATACTATGAAATTGACAATCAAGATGATATTTCCAGACCCATTTAAAATGTCATCCAATTAATTAACAACGTATCAACTTATTATTCCTGAACAACTCCATTTACAACATAATGTCAGCAGATTCGGCAAGTATAGTTGCAGTGCTGATGAAAGTAGGTGAAACACATCACCACTTACCTTCGCAGCAGGTATACGCCGAATGTGCTCAACGGATTGTGGACACTGCCGTTCGTTTCCGATGGGAATCAATAACTATCACTGTCTCGCATCGCGAGAGCGAAACGTAGAATTTGCGGCGTGTCGGTTTCGAGAATGTCCACGACCTATTTTCACGTATTCGTTGTGTTATTGCGGACGATCGAAAAACCGCGAAGATAATGCGTTTTGGGGTCGGTGTCGTCAGGGCGCTTGCGATGCGCAGAACGCGATGGTGACCGTGTTAGAGAGGGTGAAAACGAACCCTTCTCAGTAGGCTACTCGATGACGCATGCGCCACGACGCTGTCATATCCTTCAAAGTGCGTCTGCTCCGAATTGATCATTGTTTATACGCCTTGCGTTTGCGTCAATGAATCTGGTGTCTTAAATTTAATTTTAATTTTACAAAAATTAGCACGTAAGCATGAAAATTTAGTAGCAGTAAATACTTTCTGCTTTTTTTTATTTAGAATAATTTGTATAAAATAAAACTTTATAATACTCACAATTAAATGAGTGTTATATGAGCTTATTTAATTCAAAGATTAGTGTCAAGTCGAAAATAAAATGATTACAAAATATTAAAATAATCACAAAAAGTCAAAATTTTATATATATATATATAAACACATAAGAATCTCTAGTCTCTTCAAGATTAAAATATTTTATAATGTCAAAATCAAATTAAAAAATTTTTTTAATTGGCCAAAAACCTAAACCATTAAATACTTAGTAATTAATAACATTATTCGAATTTTTATATCCGTATGAATTTATTCAAATTTCAATTCAAATAAAAGAGTTTGCGAATCACTGTCAAGATTGTTAGACATTAGATCCACTCGTGGGTAATAGGCTGCGCTTTGAAATGCTAATTTGAAAGTTAGTTCGATTGGGTTGAGTCATCTTTCCAAGTAGTCATAGAAACGCAACGGCGGGCCGATGTTATATTACTTCTGAGAGGGGGCTAAATGTGTGATTGTCGAATTGTAGATTTAGCAAGCTGCAAGCTCGTGACGATCCATTCAGAAATTAGACATAATCGCACGCATCGTTCTTGAGAATTTGCGATTTTGGAAACATGGATCGAAAATATCAAAGGGTGGGCTTGGGAGTGGGTGCATTTCACAACCCTCCAAGAGCAAAATATAGCGAGGAAACTAGAAATCTTATTAAACGTAAGTAAAAATAACCTAAATTCGATCAACATATTGTTTGTACAAAAGTTTAATTAGCTTTTATGTTGAAAAATCTAATTTTTTATGTAACCGAGAATTTAGTGATACTTTTTTAACATTTAAAAATCTTAAATGTTAGTGTTAATGGAGGAATCTAAGCTAACAATGTTGCAAAGGAAAACGATTCAGGAAGCCGTAGATAAAGGTGAATCTCTACCATCTTCTATCGACAGAACAAAAAAGGACACCGACAACGCTGAAGATAATCGAGTAAATATCGCGACGCTGTAGAGAAATCTTCAGAAAATGATTGCAAGATAATATCCTATAGCGTCTTCTGATAGGTTAAAATGCCTAGTGCCTGGAGGAGACGTTCACAAGATACAATTATAAGCAGCGGTGCTTATGAAAGGGAACAGTACAGGAGGACAGCACCTTTACGTAAAAATCATGAATAATTCTTTTCATAGTAATTAGCAATCAAAAATAAAAAAAGTGTATCAAGTGATATTTACTTTTATCAATTTAATTTCTCTGTATATTAACATTCAATTTTTATTTATTTAGCCAATAAGGAGAAACAAAAACGTCACTTGGCATGCATGATGGCTTATGGAAAAGATATGCCGGAGACTCCTCACGGGCCCAAGATCCTTCATAAATCTAGACGAGAACCGCAAATGCCAAACAATGTGGATCCTCTAAATGAGCGTAAGTTAAAAAAACCCAGAGTAAAGAATAATAAATAAAATTTTAATAAACACAAATTTGCTTTTTGAAGTAAATTATTATAATCGTACAAAAAGCAGTCTTTCAAATTTAAATTTAGATTTTTGTCGTGCGTATTTTTTGCAGCAGTGTCAGTAGCAAATTCGCAATTGTGTTGTTTTATTATTCATAGTGATACAAGGGATTCGAG